CCTTTCCTCTTGCCAAACTGTCTTGCTGGAGTTACTGTCTATGAAGATGATTATTGAGTGGACTGTAGTATGAACTGAAGCCTCTTTTCCTTGCATGTGCTGAGAGTTTAGTCATTTAAAAGTATTATTATGGTTGCATGGCAAGTGTGTCCCTGACTTGTACCACAAAGATTTCAATGTAGGAAAAACCTGCATCTCTTTAGCAATAAAGTATAAACCCAGAATGAAGCCAAATAATTCTATGGCTTCCAAAAGTTTCTAGTAACTGAGTTTATTAAAAATCTTAAACTTAAGTTCTGATACTTTATAAAGCACAGTGCCATCCTGCTATCAGGATCTTCTTAAAAAATAAATAAAAGAAAAAAAAAATTCCCTGTTAAAGGTGGTATGAAAGGGAAATCTTAACATGCTTTCTGTGGATTCCATCCAGCTAGACTTACTGTTCGAAAGACATTTGAATGGAAAATGCCACCTTGAAAACATAGCATTATTGTTGGAATGAACCAATGATATAATATGATATTTAAGTGCTATGTCCTGGTGCTTTTCCACCTCCCTGGGATTTGGGAGTTAGTATTGAAATAACTGGGTTGATTATTACTTTTATTGAAAAGAAGAATTAGTTAAATGCCCAAGAGAGACTGGGAATTAAAGAATACCAATACTTCTTTTCCCTAACTGATCCCTAAACTGATGTGTGTCTTTATCAGGGAATAGTTTCAATACCTAATTTACCTCTGTCAAAGGACCTGTTTTAGTCTTTTATTAGGACTTTGATAATGTTTACAGAATTCCTTTGTGTAAGGGTGATTGAAATGTAACTCTAATGCCTTTTACATTCCAATATTTTTTAAGTTTTAACATCTCTGGGTGTTCCTGAAAAGCACTTCAAGTACAGCATTCAATATTTCTCATTCTCATCTCCAGGGAAGCTATGCTAACTTGTATCATCATTCCAGGCTCATCTGCAGTCAACAGAGTGAAATGTGACTTCTGGGGTTCTATTTTTGGGTAGTCCAGATTAGGAGAGCAAAAGCCTTTTGTTCATTCTTTGACTAGCTTGTGTGGAATGGTAGTACCCTGACTCTGTCACTGTTCCTCTTCAAGAGCAGCAGATTTAGGTATGCTGATTTTTAGTTTTTCAGCTTGCACTCTAGCTAACTGGGACCTTTCAGCTGACCTTTCAGTTGTGAGCACAGCCACTTAGGAGTATGAAATGTAGGAAATCACCAAAAGATAACTTCCCCCCCAGTCCCTTTAAAAGCTGTAATTCCAGCTCAACAACTTTATTCAGTAAGAGAGAAGAACAAATCTTGATTTGACTGTATAGCACATGAGGCTAAGCAACTGTTCTCTTAAAGGAAGGGAACCCAAGGGGAGATGGCAAAGACATCAGGACCACTGGAGTGCCACTAGGGTTTATGTTGCCCTTTGGTATTGTATTATTTTCTTGTGAAGGTCAGACAGTAGGAGAGACTCACCATATTCTTGCCAATAAGTGAAACATGCTCAGGGTTTGTCACTTCATCTACAAGCACTTTTGATTTAAAACAACACTTCTCTATCAGAACAAGCCTCTTTAGATTCTCACTTCAAGCAGTTGTGTTCATGCTATTGCAAAGTTTAGCAGCAAAAGATTTTTCCACTTTGTTAAAATTCTTTCTTTTATATGATTTTACATGGTCAGGGAGCAAACTAGTATATGGATGTTCCCTCTTAACCAATTTCAATCTGAATTTCATTACACAGTTATACCATTTTCTGGTAATTAAAACGATGTTGTGTTTTGTTATCAGTTTTGGTTATTCACTTGGCAGGAAGTGTGGTGGGCATTTCTGAAGCCCTCTCTAGCTTTCTATCTTAATTTCCTTCAAGGCAGGAATGTTTGTTGTGTGCACTCTACTGTAAATAGAGACTTTTGTGGTTTAATTTGCAAAGCTCCTTCCTTCCCAAAGTCCTTGTGCAGTTGCCCACGACACTTAAGGCAAGACTGACTTTCCTAAAGAAACTTGTATGTCGGATGCCCATCTTGGTAGGACTTGGCATTCTCCCAGGAAGTGCTTTTTGCCCAGCTGCACTGTTGGTCAACTTGCCTATCTGATTTTTTTAAACTTTTTGCGATACAGATAACATAACCTTCACCAAGCAGCCCTAGCATATATTTCCAGCCTGAAGAGTGCATATCTGGGTTCAGCTGACTTTCCAGATATAATAGAAAGGGATGGGATCTGTTTCTGAAGTAATAGGATTGTTCATGAGGTGTTGCAAAAAACAAGGAAGAAACTTCTGCACCAAATTGAAATTCTTTTAAGAAACCGTGTGCTAAAAAAGAAAGTGTGTCAGGCTTTATGTGTGAATACTCACTATGCAGGTTTGGTGAAGGTTGGACTCTGCTACAGGATGGCTACAGCTAGATGCAGAGTGATGGGCTTCAATCCATCATAACTTGTGGGTGGATTGCAGCTGGCACACCATGGATTTGGAAGCCCGTGGTGCTGTTGCTTATGTGCATTCTGAAACTCATGTTGTGGGAAATGCCTTGTGGAGCAGCGTGAGCGCTTGAAGCTCATCCCCTTTTGCTGTGCCCAAAGAGACTGCAAGAGCCTCTGTTGAGTTTCTGAGAACAGTTCTTGATCCTGAAAGTTAGGTCACTGTTGCTATTGTGGACTTTCAAAACTGAGGAGGAAGATAATGTTTAAACACACATTTGTCTTTGATACTGATGTTTACAACCATGGCAAATACTGCCTCTGTAGGATAGAAAGCACAGAAATGGTGTTTCCTTAAAACCATGTGCCTGACTGTAACATGACAACACTAGATTTATTTTTTTTTTTTAAAGGCTGTGGATTAGTTTTGTGAAATAAAAAAGAAACTCAAATTATATACAATGTTTTATACTGCTACCAATTCTGTTTTGCTTTTTCTGTGTATTTACACTGCTTGGTTTCTACTTTGAGAAACATCTTTTTTTCTAACTTGTAACACTGTAATTAAATGAAATCTTTACTTAAATTTGCTGGGGTTTTTCCTTCAATAAAGTTACCACTGCATTAAATGAATTGGTCTTATGATTAATATGGAGTTTTTAATGTTGCTTGTTCTCTAGATGATGCTGGAATAGCTGTCATTGTCTGTTTGATTTTTGTTTTTTTTGTTGTTTTTTTGTTGGATTGTGTTGTTTCCAAGAAACTGAGGAACTTAATTGTTTATAGGTATTTGTCTTGTCCGTAGTACCTTTGCTGTGTACACAACACACACTGCTGAGGGGAATCTCTTTGTCACTAGTGCTGTGCGTTTGCTTCACCCAGCATGTCCAGCTCAACCAAAATCTTTTTGGCATAGTTGCAGGCACCTAGACAACTGGTTGACAAAACTAGAGTTGTTAAGGTGGGGGTTATATTTTTTCATCTTATTTATTTACTTACCTCAAGAGACAAAGTAGATGTACAATTGTTAGAAATGAAATGTAGTGGTTTTTTATCCTAGTGTGAGAAGTGTATTGGTTTGGGGTTTTTTTGGGTTTTTTTTATATATACCCTAGTATTAGGAATATAATAGTTTGTTCAAGAGAGAAGTGAGATACCTGCGCATTCCAATGACACCTGGAGTGGTTTATGGTCCAAGAAACTGAGGAACTTAATTGAGCTCCATATGGGGGACTGAACATGGAGCAAGATTTATGGCCAAGATAAGGCACAACAAAGCCA